AATAGCACATTGTTCAAATTTTAAACCCCAAATACACTACTAAAAGTTGTGCAATTGTTTAAATTCTAAACCCTAAATACACTACTAAAAGTTGTGCAATTGTTCAAATTTAAAGCATTCCAGAACAGAACACTGCCAACACATTCAAACCAGCAACATGATCAAAAAATAGTTACAAACAACAACAACTCCAAACAGTAAAATGATCCTAAATAGCTCCAAACAACATGATCCAAAGTCCTGCAAGTTTAAAGAAAAGCATCCAATTAAAAATAATAATCAATATAACTATTATTAAGAAAAACAACCAATTAAAAATATTATACCAAATCAACAACTAATCAGACTCCGCATCAGATTGCTCTTCATTTAATTGCGGGATTGGGACAAGATCTACAAATATTCAAAATATAACCAATTAGTATGATAAGTGAAAAACAAATACACTAATATGAGATATAATAAAAATACCTAGCTCAAGTTTTTCTAAATCCTCCACGAGCTCTTCAACATCAGTTGATATTGGGGAGGATCGACACCAATTTTGGGTGCAAATCAAAGCCTCCATGAGACACAGGTATGGCCAAAATATCTCTAGCTAATTGACCAAGAATGAGATATTTGGTAGAGTTCACTTTCCACCAATTCAAAATGTCAAAATTAGGATTGTTTTTCTTCTCCAATGCCTCCATGAGATACAAGTCTACTTCATTTTTATTCAAATTCTCATGAAGATCCATGTCTTTTTCAAACTCAGCAGCAAGTTCATCGTCAATTGAATCAATGTTTATCATTCTTTTTTCATTAGATGATTGAACACAAGTTGCAAGCTGCCCTTGATTAGCAAAAAACCTATACTTCTCAAACATTTCATGCAATTCCTCTTTCACCTTTTGACTCATAAATTCAGCAATATCTTTCTCATAAATCTTATTCATTCCCCACTCAACAAAGCGAAACTTATTACGAGGATCAAGCACCGCAGCAACAAAAATCAGCATATTCATATTTTTCACATTCCCCCAATACTTATCATATTTAACTTTCATTTTTTCAGCCATCATTCCAAGCATTAGATCACCACTATCTCTCATTTTTTTGAATGTAATCAAAGCCAAAACATGTTCATTGAAATATTGGGAAGAGGTAACATATTTCATACCTGAAACTTTTTCAGTTATATCAAAAAAAATCTTCAAGAATTTAACATGGCATCTTGCAGTTTCCCAATCTTCATTATTTGGAATACCACCTTGCAACATCACATATTCAACACATTTTTCTTCCAATCTCTTAAACTCCTTTTGGAACTTTAAAGAACTTTCAAGCATCAAGTAGGTGGAGTTCCACCTAGTAGGCACATCTAATTGCACAATACTTTTATCACGTAGCCTAGCTTCCTTAATGCAACGTCTAAACTTATCCATGTGACCAGGAGATGCACGTACATATCTAATTGCATTCCTAATTTTACTAATTGAAGAATTCCACTCTTTCAATCCATCTTGAACCACAAGATTCAAGATATGAGCACAACACCTAACATGCATATGTTCTCCCTTTAGAGGATATGTATTCCAATCCTCCATTCTACTTTTCAAATAAGAGATTGCAACATCATTAGAGCTAGCATTGTCAACTGTGATGGTACAAACTTTACCTATTTGCCAACTCTCTAAGCATTTTTCAATTTTTCTACCAATTATCTCTCCCTTATGATTTTTAATTGGACAAAAACTAATAATTCTCTTATGCAACTTCCAATTTTCATCAATAAAATGTGCAGTGAGACAAAGATAATTCAGATTTTGAACAGAAGTCCAACAATCAGTTGCGAGAGATACTCCTTGATGTGTGTGATTAAACAAACTTTTCAATTTTTGTTTCTCACTTATGTAAAGACTCCAACAATCCCTAGCAGCTGAAATCCTCCCTGGAATTGGTAGCTTAGGTTGCACAATACTCATAAAGTAACGAAATCCCTCCCCCTCAACAAACTTGAAAGGTAATTCATCCACAATTATCATTCTAGCTAGTGCTTGTCTACATGCATCAACATTAAAATGAACACTAGTCAAAACACTGATATCTCCCTGCCCATCTTCTTTTTTCAATTGTTGAAAGGAAAGAGTTTTTTGATGAGAATCACGAGTCTCTTTGGGAAACTTTTTACAAAGATGCAACAAATGGTTTATCATATTACTTGTACCATTTTTGTGAGAATCGCATGCATAAGACTTTGCACACCAATTACAAGAAGCTCTACTTTTTGTGCTACATGATAGATCTTTAGAAAAATGATCCCAAGCCCATGATCTAGTATTCCTACGATATTTTTTGTTACCTTCATCACTAGGCTCAGGATTCGTGGATGTGGTTTCATCCGCAGCTTTCCTTTTCCTTTTATCCTTTTCAACTTTAGAGCCCCCCTCTTTGTTTTCATCATGTGCCTCTTCCAAGTTAGGTACTTCATTAGTTGATTTGCTAGACTGCACATTTGTAGCTTCCATTATATCACCACTGTCATAGTTTTGAGCCTGCATCAATATATAAAAAAATAAGAAAAATTAGGAAATTGATGATAGTGATACTATTTTTTTTGATGTAATAAATAATTATAATAAGACGGGCCATAAAATAACTGGTAACAAACTATCACAATAATAGAATGCTAAGGCAGACGTGTTCGACATTTCAAATGAACATACACGTAAAATATTCTCAACACAACTCATCTACCAGACCAGGGTCCTATCATACCAAACATACCATACCAAGGGAAAAATAGGAGAAACATGGATTCCCCAAACCAATCATTCATGGTATGACATGAAAAATGTAAAAATAAAGAACCAACAAAACTGCAAACTCTGATGCCCCCTTCCAGGGGGTGTTAACACCGCCACACATATATGCACTCCAGCAATTAAAATCTACTGCTGCTTGCATTCTGGAGGCCTCTCACCTTGTTGTTGCCCATCCCTTTGTTCTCTTCCATTCTTCTTCCGTGAAGATGAGGACTTCTTTTTTGGTAGTTCAATCACAGATTTAGCTGAGTTCAATCACACCTTGTCTGCGATTTTTCTATACAATCAAAAGAAAATCAAATTAGGTCCCAGAAGCCGGTACAATTCAACTCAAGAAAAACATACAAAGAAGACATGATTTTGGAGCCGTATATTCACTTATCAGCTCCTTTTATTTTATCCAAGCCATCATATATACTAATTCTACTTTGGTCTAAGCTACAAATCAAGCAAACTATCAGAACATTAATCTCAACTAAAACCGAGTATTACTATTAATTCTAGTTTGAAAAACTTATTTTTAAGTATGAAAAGCTTTTTCGAAAGCATTAAGAAATGTGGTCTCTGAACCACTTGAAATTTCACCAAAGTGGCACATCATTTTTAACAATTGGCTATATTTTAACCCACATGGAATTATTAAGGGTATATGCATTCACAGTTCACAGCCTAAAAAACTCTAAAATAAAGTAACATGAGTTCATTGGGGGTCCTTGGTTTTTAGTTTTCGGTGGGAACGTGCATGTGTTTAGATTAAGATTTACATCTTAATTTTGCTTGGTTTCGACTTTCGACTCTATCCAAACAAGGCTTTCTCCGTTGAGAAGCTCCTTTCTTTTAATTTCTGAAAACTCTGAAGTACTGCACTGCCAATGGATGTTACAAGTTTATCACTATTTTGTACAATCAGTAAGAAAAGCTTAAATTTTTGTTTGTGTTGTACAACACTTAATTGCAGTAAGGATCATACAACCTTCGGCTAGTTCAAACTGAATAAATTTTCAACAAATTTTGCATTAAGAAAATAAAGATTCAGATCCAGGAAGAAGCAAGGAAAGAAAGAACGAAAGAGATGGGAATCAGATTCATATTAATGGTGAACAAGCAAGGGTAGACCCGTCTCGCCCAGTACTACGAATGGCTCACTCTCGAAGAACGACGTGCCCTCGAAGGTGAGATCGTTCGCAAGTGCTTAGCCCGCAACGAGCAACAGCCAACAGGTAATAATATTCCTCATCAATTTCACACAAAACCCAAACAGAAAATGACACAAAAAAACTCACATTAAACTGAGCTGTGAGCCGAGGATGATGCGGAGGCAAAGTTGTTTCAGCACTTGTAATTGTCACGACAGTAGTTGTATTCTCTCTATCTTGTTACTGCCATAAAACACTTTGAAAGAAGCTCTTGAATGGTTAGATGATAATCAAAATGGAGAGAGAATATTTCGATGAGAATACTAACTTACTAATCTCCAGTTTGGCTTGTGAGAACATTGAAAAGAGGCTGAGAAAAGGCGAAGTCTAAACTCTAAAGTGGGCTAGGGTTTGAATTTGAAAGTTAAAACGGTGTCGTTCATACTTATTTGTAATATATATCGGTTCGGTTCGGTTTGGATCGGTTTCGGATTTTCAAACCGAAACCGAACTGATCGGTTTTTTTTTAAAAAAAAAACAAACACACTAAATCGATTTCGATTTTTTTCGGTTATCGGTTTTTTGGATCGGTTTTCGGTTATTTTTTTGGATCGGATTGGATTTGAACACCCCTACCCAATACCATGAAATTCATTCTTATAGAATGTTTTAATTATCAAATCTCTGTTTTAATTTTTCGCCTTTCCGTATTGGTCCCTTTCTCTATTCGGGCTTTGTCTCATCTTAACATGTCTATGTATAATCCACATCCTTCTAAACATTCCTTGAATCAAAGTATAATATGCACTTAAATACAATTAAACCTAAATCCTACTAGATGATACAATGATAATTTCTTAAATCAAAATATATTACGCACTTAAATACAATTAAACCTAAATCCTCTTAAATGTTGTAAAATATAACCTTCATCATGCTCAATGTTAATGCTTAAAAGAGAATTTATTTCCCCCTCTATTCTTCTACATCAAAACAATAGATTAAAAAAAGGTCCTTCAACTGTGGATGTAATTGGCTGTCAACCTGTTCAATCCAATTGCAACATAATAACCTTACACTCTTTCATTTTTCTAACAGTCGGCATTGCCTGGAGAGTAACATTACACGAATCTTAAAACAACACCAAAATTATGGGTCATCCTTTATGACCAACGAGGTCTTTCATCCTCTCACGAATCTCCTCCTTCTCCCCCTGACCGGGGTTGCACCAACTTCCACGGTTCTGTCCGGATTTTGTTCTTCATCATCGCTCGTTTCATCAGATCTCCATCTCGGTCCTTCCTGTGCATTTCTTTCCTCCAAAGACCTCTCTCCCTGGCTGCAAATATCCAAAACAGGAAACAAATTGACAAGAGAGTACAGGAAAATCTTCCACGCTCTGAGGTTAAAAGGAAAATAAAGTGTAGAGATCGAAATCTTTACCTCCAAGAGACATCCATTAAGTCTTCAGTACGAAGCACATTCCGATGCCCGTCATCTCTATCTGATTGACCCCTCTTACCGGAAATATTGGATTGTAAGTTATTTGCCAAACCTTTAAACAATCCGAAGTTACTGCTAGGTGTAGAAGCAGGATTAGCCGTCACCCTTCGGGAATAAGGAGGACTTGCATTGTGGACTTGGTTAACAAACCCATTTTGCTTAGACTCTGAAAAGATTTTATCAGATTGTTTTTCTCGTAGGCGTCTGCTTGAAAGCTCTCTTGATGAACTCTGACCAATACCTTTTAATGGTGTAGAAAATATGGGACTTGCACAATGAATTCCAGGACTCAAGATGTTCTCAAATTTGAAGTTTTTGCTTCCTTCAACGTTTGATAATCTTTCTGCATCTGCAAATAACCTCCCCGGGAGAATTGATGTAGACACATGGGTACCGGCTTCAACATGAGCATTGCTGACATATCCACCCAATGTTTTAGGAATTTCAGAAACCGGTGGTCTCAAAGGAGTAGCCATATGGTCTGGTTGTAGAACAATAGAATCAGAAGAAGAGGGAACCAACAAACTCTCTGATTTTGGTTCTTGCAATTCACGGAAACCGGTTCTTGTTGGTAGTTCATCCTCCTGATGAGAAGTAACTACTATATCAGGCAATGTTCCAGTCCTCACTTGTTGTTGAAGGACTTCAGGAAGCAATTCTATACCTTTATCCTATTGAACAGAGGGTAAGCAAGTCAGTAGATTCTCTATAAAAGCTATTTGCTAACCTTCGGTAACCTTCAAACTTCACCACCAACAGAAAAGAAAAGATGAAAATAATAGAATTGAATTTATTTTAATAGCAGCAAAAAATGGCAATCAAAGTTTATACCAACTTACCACCAAATTTTTTCTCCTCTGACGATGTGATTCCATACTTGATAGAGCTTCTAGAAAATTTTCATCACCAGAATGAGTTGAAATGAAGTCTTCCTCTAAGCTCCAAAGTTTACAATTGACTTGATATGCCTCAACATACCGATAGCGCTGGATTAGTAACATAAATCAAGTTAATAAGCTCCAGTAATACACTATTACATGTTCAGAATAATCTATTTAACCTAGAAAAGAAACCCTCCTAAAAGTGATGTTAGAATCCATTGGATTGGCCAAAAATGAGAATTATATAGAATATGACAGTTCAAATGAGAATCACAAAAACTACTTAAGGCCTAAATACAGACTAAGGATCCACGAACGGGAACCTAAATGTTCCATCATTCAATGCAGCGGTATCTGGATATTAAGTTAAAATGACATAAGACTCAAGATGATATATATCCCTTCATTGATCTTGCATAGCTTCACACATTACCTGAAGATAGAATACAACAAGGAGACTTCCAATAGTAGATGTGGGGTCATCAGTTGCACAGTCTAACAGGCATTTGTGGATATATTTCTCCTCTTCACCATTCCACGGTAGTTCTATTATTTGATCAACCACATTCCTCCTGATGCATAAACAACAGAACTCGGTCACCAGTACTTCTATCCAGTCCATCCAGGACCTGCATTGACCTTTCATGTCATCCAATGCATCCCCGCTCAGTTCATATTTAAACTTCTTTTCCCGGCCTTTTTTACAGATCATTCGCTGATATGCAAATGCTTCAGTCAAAAGTGCACACTCCACTTTCACCCGAACAATAGTAACAGCCTCACTAAGTGAAACCATCTGTGATCCACCATCACGGCCGGACCAGCGTATCACCATTTGTGCTGCCTTAGGATTCTGCCTTTCTAACAGAACTTGTGCAATCTTTGGATGAGTTTCTGGGCCAGAGATCTCAGGAAGAAGTTGATGACATTCCTGAGAAATATGATTGTGGAAAATAATCAACATGTAGAATTATATTAGGAGTGAGCATATATAGAAAGACAGACAAATAGTTCTTTATTGTCATCCCCTTGAACATGTAAGATGGTTCTCCACAAGAAATGGACCACAATAATATATGATAACTAATTAATTTAGGTTCTTTAAACTCCAAACGTTTCTTTTGGATTTAGCAGAGAGGAGCTAGAGGAACAATATTAGTTGGCTCAGAGATCAAAGCTTAGGCATGCATGTTAGAATTATAATCCATTTAGCAATATACTTCAATACTCACTTTCTTAAGCAATTGAACACTCATACCAGTCTACAACCACAGCACAATTTAATGACAATAGAAACCATCAGACTACTCCATTTAATGAGGTAGTGAGTGGCAGAGAACTTAATGGAGCAAACAGCCAAGCAAATGGTTATAGAATTAATCAGAAATCTGCACACAGCAAGTAAATATGGAACTTAGACCCAAACAAGCTTTTATAAGAATAGATACAGAAATTACCAGTAAAGCTTCATGTGAGTGGTCATCCAGAAGACAGAAAATGAAAGACTCGAGTAATGAATGCCTGATTATACCAAAGGAGCTTGCAAAGTCATCAATGATATCCCTCCATTCTTCCTCGGGCCTTCTCCAATGCCGATCAAACAGGTAATACACAAACTACATCTAAGATAAGAAAAATTAAACGAGTGTGCCTAATAAAACATGACCAAACAACAAAAGAACCCTAAATGAAAATCAAGTTAGAAAGATAAGGATACAATCGCTTGCTTGGCAACCACCAAATCAGAAGCACCACGTAGAAAGAGGATGTCCACGGCAGCTCGAAGACTTTCAAATGGATAACATCCTGCAATGCCCCCTATTTTGGACTGGAAAAAGGACAAGGCACCATTCTTCTGCAAAAAGGCAAAATCTGACTCTTCCCCCATCTCCTCGTATATGTCGAGGTTTTCTAGTGCATCTTCAATGAAAAGTGAAGCACCCTGTCCAGTGGAGTCAGCTGAGGGATCTAACAGCTCAGGCGGAGGCCATGCCCGCGCAATTGCAGCTGATTTCCTATCACGGACATGATTACGCCAGGATGTGAAATCAGCATGACGAGACCTCACATCTTCCAAGAATTGGTGCCTTATACACCATATTGTGATCTCAAGATGCTGAAAATTTAAAACAAATATGGTGGAAAATATCAATTATTGCATGATTTTAAGATTGTATATTTTGTTTAATTTGTCCGGTGAAATGCTAAAGCGAGTATCAATGCCGGCCAGCAATAATGTACAGTACCAAAAGACAAGGTGAACACAGCCAGATTGCCTCAAGAAGATCAGTTAAATGCAATGACCAAATAAAAGCCATTAATTTCTCACATACCCCAAGCTCCCCCTGCCATATTCTTTACTAAGCTGATTTTCAAGATTGCAGGTTCCAAGACATTGCTACAAACATATTGCTCTTAAAAGATGCTAAAATATGGTTAAACATTCGCTTAACAGAACCAAACCTGCTTTGTCTTCAATATGCTCTTTTGAAGGTTGCGCAAGTCATGAAGCTGTGCTGAAAGACGGCCCTTGAAAGATGAGTCCAAAACTTCAAGTACATTGGATAAGCTGGCCAGATGTCCAGAAAATTTTAGAAGTGAACCTAACCTATTTTTCATCTCTTCTACTTCAAGATAATCTGATAAATGCAGTTAGGGACACCAAACACACATTGTATACATAAAAGACTAAATAGCATAGTTCTCAAAACATTTCATAAATTTTCAAGGATACATATACGATGAAGTTCTGTTGCCATGTTTTTAAATGTCCACTTGACCCAATCCTTGACAACCTTCTCATCCAGCAACAAAGCAGTGACAGCATCACTGGAGACAGCAGTTTCATCCATGCATATATCTGTAACATCTGTTCTTTTCTGTTAACTGAAACATGGATTTCTAACAAACAACCAAGGCAGTTGTAATCAGGACATGTTATAAAAAATATAAACAAATCAGTAGGCCCTGCAATGTTGAAACGTGACCAAAAGAATAGCAAAAGGATACAATGACAAATCAAAGAAACCAAGTTATTCTCCAAGGCTACATCAAAGAAAGAATAAAGACGCTGGACATCAGACGTGAGTTGATTATTTCTATCTTCTTTCTCGTGAAACCTCTCGTCGCATCTTCTAGATATGAGGCCGGCATCTATGCACTCATCGAAAAGGCGAAGGCGTAGTCTATTGTTACCACTTTTTATCAACGGGATTCTACAAATTGGACAAACATCATAACGTTGACTACACTCCGCACATAGAGAAGCATGTCCACACGAGTTTAATGCATACTGTACGTAACGTCCACAGCTTCTTAAGTCTCTAGCTGCTCGACAGTGCTCAATTTTCGCCTCACTGACTAACTCACTGAGGTCAATAGTTGCCAAGTGTTCCAAAGCTTCCTGAAATTGAAATTCGAACCAAATATAATTTCCCATACTAAAAATCTCCAATAAACAGCACTATCAAGATATGTATTAATTTATTCTAACATTACATGATAAGCTATAATTCATTTCAACATGAATTGTTTTTTTAATGCTTAATTGAACTTAAACCCTAGTATTTGAAAGAAAGAAAACAGTTCCTAAAGGCCCATTCTATGCAAGTAAATGTGAACCTAATTCGCTTGTTGCAGCACCATTGCAAATCATCAAAAAATAAATAAGAAGTAAAAAACCCTAACACAAAGAAACGTAAAGGGCCTAGGGTTTTTGCAGTTGAGGGTTAGGGAAGAGTACCTGAACGGCTCGGCTACTGAAGTTGGGTTGAAGAGGAGGAGAAGCTGGTGATCTAAAGGTTCCGCCATTACGTATGGGGGTCGAAGAGAAAAGCGGACCGTTGATTTCCGATTTCTCCATTTAGTTTTCAATTCCGATAATGGATTTTGCCTGGGGAAAGTGAGTAAAGTTTGAGAGTGTTTTCAAGCCTTTAAGGGCATAGGGCTGGGCTGATTGAGCTGCAATTTTTAAATTGGAAAATTATAGAAATTTATCAAGTAGATCGAAATTTGAATTGTAGGTCTTTGCCAATTTGGTGTTTTCGCCCAAAAGAACGGGCGGGTCGGGTTGGAAGGGTAAGGTAGCCCGAGCTCAGTATTTTTTCGGGGTATGGTCACGTCCCCTTCCATACTTTACATTATATTGATAATATATTTTTAACATGAAATCAATCGATTTTAATAGTTAAAGAATTAATTTTTTTTAGATTTTAAATTTAAATAATTATATTTACTAAAAATATATATATTATCAATAATTAAAAAAATCGGATAAATAATACTTTCGAAATCATCACAGACTACTAAAAAAATCAACCGTTAAAATCAGCTTATATAATTTAACATGATATTTCATTCAAATAAGTAAATGAGCTTAATGTTTGAACCAAAAGATCGTAATAAACTTATATAAGACGGATTGATATCAAACAATTAAATAATGGTCGAATTTAAAATAATAATAGTTTGAGGGAGTTAGTAAGGTGGTCGTTACATAAAAATTTTAAATTTTATAAAATTTAAATATTTTTTTATTCTCTATTGATGATATATATTTGTCCATTAACATAAAATTTTATACATGTTTAGGGGTGTAAATGAACAGAACATTCGGTGAACTGTTCGCGAACCGTTTGTATAAGTTTGTTTGTTAAGCTAAATAAACGAGTATGAAAAAAATATATGTTCATTTAATAAACGAACGAACACAAACAGATGTGTGTTCGGTTCGTTTATGTTCACGAACAAGCTCATTTATCGACTCATTCATTTATGTTAATAGACAAGCTTGTTTACCCGGTTCTTTTTTTACATTTTAAATATTGATGAATGTATGGACTAAATCGAACACGTGATAAAAGTTGACATTTAAATTGTAAATTTTAAGGAATTTAGCCACTAGTGGTATAATTTTATTATTTCTCTTTAGCTTGTACATGAAATATTATAACAAAAAACATATAAACGCGTCGTAACCACCTTTCGGTTGGGCCCGAAATTGAACTTCGACTTAGGCGAATTGATTAGGAGTCGCCACCGATCATTTATTTTAAACAAAATGGGTTGATCGGATACCTTATTTCTTACCTGATATGCTTCTTACCAAAGATGTGTCAGATTCGGGAGTTGGTTACAGTCAAGGAAGGGTTAGCACCCTTGAACTGCCCTTTCGGTACTACATAATTTTCAGTTGTCTTTAATTAAGAAAATTAAAAGTTTAAATTAAAAGGTAAAATAACGATATAAATTACTTACCTTCGATTGATTGAAATACCATTAAAAGATATAAAATGTTAGATAAAAAATGAAAATTAACAAAATAAAGAAAAATAAATAAAATGAAATAAAACAACAAATGAAATAAAACAAAAAAAAAATAAAAAAGATGAAAAAGTGAATAAAAATAAGATAAAACAAAGAAGATGTAAAAAGGAAAAAAAAGATAAGAATAAGATATATAATAAAATGAAAATGAATAAAAAAAAGTAATAATACTAACATATACATTGCAAACAACTAAATAACATAAGAGGAAAATACAAATAAATAAATAAATAGCCTAAACAAATATAAGGGAGATAAAAAAGATTAAAAAATAAAAAGAAAATATAAAAATAGATAGAATATAAAAATAAGTAAAATAGAATAATAATAATAGTAATATAATATAAATAAATAGAAAACAAAAAAAGGAAAATAAGAAATATAATTATATATATATATATATATATATAAAAATAAAAATAAAAATAATAGTTATAAAAAAGGAAATAAATATTGTAAAAGTAATAAAATAATAAGAATAATAAGAATAAAATAAAAAAATAAAATAAAATATGAAACGTATATATAATAGTAATGATAAAAGGATTAATTTAGAAAAAAGATAAAATTTAGGGACCAAATTAAAAGGAAATCCGAGTTTAGAATCAAATTTGGGGCTAAAAGCACGGTTTACACTTCTTTAAAGCAAAACACGCGGATCTAGCGTGCAACGGATCGGGCCAGTTGGCTCCACGGGTCTGCTATATAAGCTAAAAATCTGTTTTAAATTTTTATTTGTTATTTTTCCCAAACCGAGCTCTCCTTCCCCTCTTCAGCATTCTCTTGTTTGTTCATCCGAGAGATGAACATAGCTGGGTTCTTGCATGAATCCAGATTCCGACCGCCTCAGCGTCGCCTCGCCGGTCATCGGTGATGAACCCTAAAAAATTAATTTTTTCAAGAGCTTTTCTCTCCCTCAACTCAAATCTCAAATCGATTTTTCAAAATAGGCATCGGGGGAGGGTAGATATGAGATCAAAGTCTCGGTCCCTCCCTTGAAAGTTCATAGAATAAAACCCTTTTCTTTGGTATTTTCCGAATCAAGAACAACAAGACAAAAGCATGCGAGCCTCAAAACGAAAAAAGGTATAACCTTTACCTTCTTTTACTTTCAAAAATCTTGAAAAATGTTTCGGTTTTAACCCGATATTGCTCGTAGTTTTTGTGTAATTGGTGCTTGTATTTCGTATATCAACTGTGTGTTACAAATGGTGTTGATTACACTTATTTATAGCCTAGGATTTGCTTATATTTAGAGTCTTATTTACATTAGAGTTCTAATGCTGTTGTGGGTGTTTATTAGTGGTTGTCTTGCGAGATCCTTGCGTGCCGTTGGTGGTTGTCGAGAAATCCGGTGTTGTTAAGGGGCGTGGAGCATAAGGAGACCTTGTAGGGAGCGTGCGGCGCGGCTGGAACAGAGGATGGGAAACTAGTGTTCCCAAACATTAGTTCACCGGTCTGGACTGCAGATGGTTCGGGCGGAGACATAAGGGGACCGATTTGGGCTGAAGACCGGTTTGCAGTTCTGGTTCTGGAGTGTTCTGCTAATGGGCTTGTGTAGTGTTTTGGGCATGCAACGTCTGTACTTGGGCCACTCTGCACTGGGCCTTGTAAATGGTCTTTGATGGGACCTGTCACATGTAATTAAAACCAAGTAAATAAATAAACTTTATATATTATATAATATAGTTTGTTATATAAAATAATATCCTGAACGAAATTTGATGTCTTCAAAACGAACGATAAACGTACATTAAATGAACGCTAAACGAGCACAAACACTAATATTTTAAAAAATAAACAAACAAACAATAACATAATTTTTTTCATTCATGTTTGGTTCGTTTACACCCTTATATGCTTCTAATGACAAAAGTCCTATCGAGTCATTCAATATTTACTAATTTTGCTCCCCGATCTTTTTCCCACGTTAACTGGAAGCCACTCAGTGGGACCTCAATTATATTATAATAGGGGTTACATGGTTTAATTGCAATAATTTCATATCTATATTATTATAATAAATTCTTATATATATATATATATATATATATTTATTTATTTATTTTGAGTAAGACACGGATTTTATTTTAAAAGATGAGTTGAATTTTAAGTTGGGTGAAGTCACCCTAAACTCATATCAAGTCGAGTTTCAGATGTAGATGAAATTTTATTAGATCGGGTTGGTTAAAAACACTACATGTGTGCCCTATTACGTGTTGTAACTCATATATTCCTAATTTTTCATAGATAAGCTCAAATTACCATTTTATTGAAGGATAATTATTTAATAAAAATCTGATATATGAGTATGCTGACTCAACCTCCGTTAAAATATTAGCATTTTAAATCAATTATCATTAACAACATGATCTAAACAAAAGTATTCTTAAAATTATTCTAATGAGAATTTTCAAATTTAGTGGTGCAATTTTAAATGTACAAAAATATTAGTGACTATAATAAAAAGACCTTTTGACATATATAAATCTAATTTAAAAATGCCGATAAAGGATATTTATGTCAATTCAAGTAAGCCGTACAATAGCACACGCGCATTCAAACTCAGGTTTTAAACTCGATAAAAACCGATTTAAATTTAGATGCATTGCTTAGCCTTTAATCACATGGTGACCAGCTCACCCGGTCAAATTGTCCGACACGCCGGACCCACTAAATGCTCTATACATTACGAGAACCATCTTTAAAAATGAAGAAGGAAGTCAAAAGGAAACTACTTTCTTTTTGGAGGGATTCACATGGACATACGAGAAATCACATGATCGACGGCTAGGACTAATCTTGGGAGATCATTAGACGGGTGGGAGAAGTCCGATTGTTCATCGAGGCGTTAAAAAGGGAATTGGGGAAATAATGAAGGAAATAACTTTAGGGTTGACCATTGACCGACTATCCAGCAAATGAGAGGTAAGATTTTGGCAGAAAATGCACGTGTGAGGGAAACAAGATACAGGTGTGCTGATACTGTCCGACTGTTGCATGAAAATTCGTGCGCCACGTGGAGTGCACATGAGTGGTAATAACTAATAATGGGGCGAATTCAACTTCCTAGAAAGCGCAACCGACGATGTTAAAATAATATTTTTTATGGATTTTAAATGTTAATTAAATAAAACAAATGTAATTAATAATGGCAAAATTTCCAACATTAGTATTTTAAGTATTTTTTATATTTATATCACCCAACAGCATATCACCCAACAACTTTAGTATAGTATTCAATAAATTCTAAATCGGTAAAATGAAAGTATTTCTATTTTAAAATATTAGTAAGATAATACTTTGATTGATAAATAAACATCTAGATTATATATTTTTATTAATTGTTTTATTTTATATAAAATAAAGACTTAACGTTTTATTTTATATTATTTAAATATTAATTTATTAACCTTAGTTAATAAATTATGTCGCTCATTTACTTTACATGTGACATTAAATTTAACTGTATTTCATTTTTATCAATATAAATTCTAAAATTTCTAAAAGGTATTCAATTTTTTTTATTGTTTAAATTCAACGACAAGAAGTTGAAATTTTCAACGATTTAATGATTTAGAAAATTACTATTTTATGTGTTTTAAGACTTAGAGATTTTAGGTTCTTTTAATAATTTTATAATATTTTTATAAATAAATGAAAATTTTGGAATCATGTTAAATATTATGTACTCTTTGAATAACAGTTTTTTTATGGATATTTACATATTTATTTTAAAATGAAACGTTAAATAACTTTTTCAATTAAATAATTTAAACATTTATTTTTAAATTAAACTTAAAATAATTATAATAAATGTCTATAAACACCACTTATTATTACTACCGTACCAAACATGGCCTGTTTATTTTTAATATACTTAATGTAAGCACACTAGAAATACGTGGGGTGTTACTGGAGTTTTGTGTGACAAGAAGATGCCTCTAAAACTTAAGGGAAATTTTTATAGAATGACAATTAGACCAGCGTTGCTGTATGGATCAGAATGTTGGGCAATCAAGAAGGATCACGTAAGAAGGATGGAGGCTGCAAAAATGAGAATGCTTCGATGGGCATGTGGTAGGACTCTGTGGGATATGACACCAAACTCTGCAATTAGGATGTCCTTGGGGGTAGTGCATGTATCCGAAAAGTTGAGGGAGGGAAGGCTACGGTGGTTTGGGCATATCCTTAGGCGACAACCGTTGGATGCGGTCAGGAGGGTAGAGTCGATTACAGTCGACGGTGCCAGAAGGAGAGGTCGACCAAGGAGGAAGTAGGTAAACTGCTTGAGATCTCATTTGAAAGATTTAGCCCTTATCGAAGACATGACCTATGACATGAAAATATGGAGACTTAAGACCAGGGTAGCCGAGTAGTGTGGGTCACAACAATAGGGTGTAGCATATCTGCCTTCTTTTTAATGCCTTTGTAGTATTTCCATGACTTCTACTTTTTATACGTTTCTGTCATTTGAATTTATGAAGGCTTAGAATTAAGGTAGCGAAGTAGTGTTGCCTTAGTTAGGGTTTTAACTCATTTGACTTTATTCATTCTCGTAAGTTGCTATCTCTGACTACTATGTATCATTCTCTTCATGTTTCATCTTTTTTAAATTTAGCCTATACTTACTTTTCTGTCTATATGCTGAGATTTTTACGCAAGGATTACTTCCCATTACAGAAGCGCATATATAGATTGCATATGAAGATTGTTCAACTATGTATTTATTTATTTATACATGCATTGTATTTTATCTTTATTTTTTAATTTTCTGACTGCCGGAGGTCTTCCACGGAAGCTGCTCTCAACCTGGCGTTAGGGGCAACCTACTACCCTACCTCCCCCTTATCCTATTGTATATGGGAATAGGGTTTTGTTGTTGTTGTTGTTGAACTTTGAAGGGACATACTTAAAATTTTTAAAGGTTTTGGATGTCTAAATTAACACTTTCATAAATTTAGGAGGGTTTAATAATATATTTAAAAAAATAGGGTTTTATTAAATTCTTTAAAATTTTAAGATCTAATGACTTTTTAAAAAGATTTAAAAAGGAATTTAATTAAAAATATTTTACAAAATTAAATCATAATTTATTTTTTCAAAAATTAGAAATATGTGAATTTTCCAAAAATTTGGGTGTCATGACTAGGGATTGGCATGGGACCCGAACCAAACCTGCCCAGATTGGGTCGGATTTTTTTGAAAAAAAACCGAGTTCGGATCGGGTCGAGTTTTTTAAGTGTGATATTCGAATCGGGTCAGGTTCAGGTTTAGGGTAAAAATACCCGACCCGATCCAACCGAAAAAATAATTTTACCTTATATATTTAG